ATATATTATTTCTGTTATGAAATTTATCAATACAGAAGACTCTTTGTATAGTTGTCAATAAATATGGATCAACAAAGTGTTTCACTTATCGACGCACCATTAGATTGTATCGTACATATTCGTTGTTTGATTACACGTTCATAGTTAACAAATGTGTTTACAAAAATTAGAGAAAGTTAATTACAATTTCTAAATTGGTATTGTGTTCTCTTGTATGTGTTGTTCATGCAAACCAACCGTCACTAACATATAAGATTATCGCATAAGCGAACGCAAAAAAAACCNTATTCATACAATTTCTATCTTATATAACACTTGCTAATTACTATAAATAAATAAGAAACTCTTTCTGTATATCTTACATAGCTTTCTACATATCACCCTTATTCTGCTCTTATGTCTTCCAAATATCGCAGTAACTTTTCTTAGAATATATATGCTCTCATTAATCAAATCTTTAAATTTTAACCATCAAATTTCTTCGTTTTACAGAGAACTAATAAAAGTGTCAACTTCATACTCAACTGAGCATTTAAAACAGCTTTATTTTATTTAAGCTTGGTTTCTATTCATCTTCACAAATAATAAGTACCCATTTGAACATGTCGATCAATCATGGCCAAGATCGGTTGGTTAGGGAGTGCTTCAAAATATATTCCGGTCGGTCGGTCGTTATTCCTTCATTCCTTTATTCCACTGTTCCGCTATTCCTCTATTCCGTTATTCCGCTATTCCATATTCCTCGATTCCTTCAGTTATTTATTCTGTTATTCATTCTTTTCTCTATATCTTTATTGCAGAACATTTGATTATGTACCGCCTTCTCGTTCAAAAGTGAATTTTTTATTTTATTTTATATCTTCAAAGATTATTAATTACTCTTTGAAAGTATTATTCACTCATCAAGCTATCGATTGCATATCGAAATCAGAAATGTTCATTATGCATAGATAAATCCCAGTGTGAAGCTATTTGGATGTTCATAAGAAAAATTTTCTCGTTAAAAATGCAATTGTATCATTCTTTTCAGAGCATTCTTGAATAACTGAAACTGTCGATGTTCATTAGTCTTTATTTTATTTGATTAGTAAGTAAAGACTAACAAATATTGACAGTTTAAGTTATTCAAGACCAGAGTGAGAATCGAAAGAGAAAATATTCAATTGATTCGATTCGATTCAATCGCATTTGATTTTCAGTTCGGTTGCACTTTCATCACGAGTAGAAATAATGCTACTGTTCTCAAAACATCTTATTTGATATACATGTTCTGCTGTTTTCCTTAGATATTTATTCTATTATTTTTCTCAACTTTTATATACTTGGTATTTCCATACATATTTTATGATCATTTAGTTCTGCAATACCATCCGTATGTAAGAAAACAGATTTTACAGAATAAAATTACTCTTAAAACTTCTGCGCCAATTGTTCCTAAAAATAAGACTGTACTTAATTCTTGAACAGTCGAAATTTCACAACATAAGTGCATATCGCAAAATTGGATCAGCAAGAACCAACTGCTACGAAAATTAACCAAAATACTTTACAATAAAATCATAGAAAATCGTTTTTTTTATAGTCCTTCATTCAAAAGCAATAATGAAAACATTTGAAAAAGAATAAATGAGTAGGCATAATTAAACAGTATCCATATGAACAGATAAACATGTCGCTTTACTTATACATATCTATCGTTAAGAATGAACATATTATTTCTGTTATGAAATCTATCAATACAGAAGACTCTTTGTATAGTTATCAATAAATATGGATCAAGAAAGTGTTTCACTTATCGACGAACCATTAGATTGTATCGTACATATTCGTTGTTTGATTACACGTTCATAGTTAACAAATGTGTTTACAAAAATTAGAGAAAGTTAATTACAATTTCTAAATTGGTGTTGTGTTCTCTTGTATGTGTTGTTCATGTAAACCAATCATCACTAACGTGTAAGATTATCACATGATCGAACGCAAAAAAAAGCTGAATGAGGTGTATCAAGCATATTCAATTCGACTCGACTGAAGAAATTTTTCATTCGATTCGATCCGAACTATCTTTTGCAAACCTTCAATCAATTCGATTTGATTCGATCCAACCCACTTTTTCGAAAGTTTCATTCGATTCTATTCGGCTCAACTTGAAAAACTTTTAATTCGATTCGGTTTCGTGCTCTCTTCAAGACTGCTCTGAAAAGAATGATACAATTGCATTTTTAACGAGAAAATTTTTCTTATGAACATCCAATAGCTTCACACTGGGATTTATCTATGCATAATGAACATTTCTGATTTCGACATGCAATCGATAGCTTGATGAGTGAATAATACTTTCAAAGAGTGATTAATAATCTTTGAAGATATAAGATAAAATAAAAAATTCACTTTCGAACGAGAAGGCGGTACATAATCAAATGTTCTGCAATAAAGATATAGAGAAAAGAATGAATAACAGAATAAATAACTGAAGGAATCGAGGAATATGGAATAAGGGAATAACGGAATAGAGGAATAGAGGAATAGTGGAGGAATATAGAAATAGCGGAATAGCGGAACAGTGGAATAAAGGAATAACGACCGACCGACCGGAATATATTTTGAAGCGCTCCCTTACTTTTCATACAGAAATGAACGCGAATCAACTTTGAGTAGGAGCTGAATTCGACAATATTGTCTCCAAAGTTCTAAATCTGAGAAAATAATTCACCACATATGCCAACTCATTTTATTAGTTAAACATTGTTTCAAACTTTTCGCGTGTCTTCAGAGTCAGTGCCACACAACACAGTATATATTAAACGAGAATTGTTAACGTCGATATTGATATCAAGAGTAAAAAAAATTCAAGAGATACTTAGATTGCCATTTGTTTTTGTCTTTATCAAATCAGATTCACTATTCGAGTCCACAATTTCAATTCCTGATTCACAAAGTATTTTTTCCTTTGACAACACTCGCTAATTATTCGATACGATTCTTTGATCCATCGTACGATCAGACTGACTCATTTCGTTCATACATTGAGAGAATAGGTAGATGATGTGTCTAATGTGAAATATTCTTGTNTCTTTTATTTTATATCTTCAAAGATTATTAATCACTCTTTGAAAGTATTATTCATTCATCAAGCTATCGATTACATATCGAAATCAGAAATGCTCATTATGCATAGATTAATTCCAGTGTGAAGCTATTTGAATGTTCATAAGAAAAATTTTCTCATTAAAAATGCAATCGTATCATTTTTTCAGAGAACTCTTGAATAACTGAAACTGTCGATGCTCATTAGTCTTTATTTTATTTGATTAGTAAGTAAAGACTCATAAATATCGACAGTTTAAGATATTCAAGACCAGAGTGGGAATCGAAAGAGAAAATATTCAATCGATTCGATTCGATTGAATTTTTCGAAATCTATATTCGATTGGATTAGATTCGACCGCACTTGATTTTCAACTCGATTGCACTTTCATCAAGAGTAGAAATAATGCTACTGTTCTCGAAACATCATATTGGATATACATGTTCTGCTGTTTTCCTCAGATATTTATTCTACTGTTTTCCTCAACTTTTATATACTTGATATTTCCATACATATTTTATGATCATTTAGTTCTGTAATACCATGCGTATGTAAGAAAACAGATTTTACAGAATAAAATTGCTCGTAAAACTTCTACGCCGGTCGTCCCTAAAGTAAGATTGTACTTAATTCTCGAACAGTCGAAATTTCACGACATGAGTGCATGTCGCAAAATTAGATCAGCAAGAACCAACTGCTACGGAAATTAACCAAAATACTTTACAATAAAATTATAGAAGACCGTTTTCTTTATAATCCTTCATTCAAAAGCAATAACGAAAACATTTGAAAAAGAATAAATGAGTAGGCATAATTAAACAGTATCGATTTGAACAGATAAACATGTCGCTTTACTTGTACATATCTATCGTTAAGAATGAATATATTATTTCTGTTATGACATTTATCAAGACAAAAGACTCTTTGTATAGTTGTCAATAAATATGGATCAAGAAAGTGTTTTACTTATCCAAGAACCATTAGATTATATCGTATATATTCGTTGTTCGATTACATGTTCACAGTTAAAAAATGCGTTTACAACAATTAGAGGAAGTTAATTACAATTTCTAAATTGGTGTTGTGTTCTCTTGTATGTGTTGTTCATGTAAACCAATCATCACTAACGTGTAAAATTATCACATGATCGAACGCAAAAAAAAGCTGAATGAGGAGTCTCAACCATATTCAATTCGACTCGACTGAAGAAATTTTTCATTCGATTCGATCCGGACTATCTTCTACCAACATTCAATCAATTCCATTCGATTCGACCCACTTTTTCGAAAGTTTCATTCGATTCTATTCGGCTCAACTTGAGAAACTTTTAATTCGATTCGGTTTCACGCTCTGTTCAAGACTGCTCAGAAAAAATAATACAATTGCATTTTTAATGAGAAAATTTTTCTTATCAACATTCCAATAGCTTCACCCTGGGATTAATCTATGCATAATGAGCATTTCTGATTTCGATATGTAATCGATAGCTTGATGAATGAATAATACTTTCAAAGAGTGATTAATAATCTTTGAAGATATAAAATAAAAGAAAAAAATCACTTTTGAACGAGAAGGCGGTACATAATCAAATGTTCTGCAATAAAGATATAGAGAAAAGAATGAATAACAGAATAAATAACTGAAGGAATTGAGGAATATGGAATAACGGAATAACGGAATAGAGGAATAAGAAATAAGGGAACAGAAGAATAGTGGAGGAATATAGGAAGAATGGAATACCGGAACAGTGGAATAAAGGAATGAAGCAATAACGACCGACCGACCGGAATATATTTTGAAGCGCTTCCTTACCGAAAAGGTATTTATAAGACTTTGTTTTTTTTTCTTCATATTTCATTTTTCAAAATAGGGTTGGGTAAATTCATGGACATTCGAGTACTGGCTACGTGAGATGTTCATTCCTGCTACATCTCAAATAAACCGTCCTCTTTTATTAATTGTTGATGGATACACGGCTCATGCTACTATCAATGTGATACAATTATTGAACGAAAATCAAATTATTTGCTTAATACTTTCACCACATTCAACACACGCCTTACAACCTCTTGATGTCGTTCTTTTTAATAATCTTAAAACTGATTGGTGTCATATAATCGAAAATTATATGAAGGGTGGTAATAAATCAATTAAGAAAGCTCATATTCCTGAACTTATCAAAAAGTTGTTTATTGATAAACAGTCATTTTCAACTACACGTATACTTTCTTCATTTTCACGATCTGGTGAGTTTACTCAA